GTGTCTAAGATTTAAAAATTAAAAAAACCCTCCAGACTAGCCACAGGCCATATTTCCTCCATAGGCTACCATTTTCAGACCCCTGGAACATAGAAATATAATTGATTTCCGGACATTGACTGTGTGTCCTGCACTGTATTGGATCACTCCCACTGGAACACAAATGATGCTTTTATTTCCTCAATCTAAAAACAAAGTCTTTTTCTTGGGCTCACTTTCCCACCAGCTGATGCTCCGTTTCTTTGTTCTACTATGCAGCAAACTCCTTCAACGAGTCCCCGGTACTTGGGGTGTCAAATGTCTCCTGTTCTCTCCCAACAGGCTTCATGAGTCCTAAGGGGAGTGACGGTGAGTGAACGAGAGAGGGAGCGGGGACACCTGGGGCTGTGGGTCCCTTGGACTCTGCTGCACCTGTGTGTGTAATTCTCCAATGGTGGTGGCCGCTATTCCTGCTCTAGGCTGCCTGCCCATTCCAGGCACATAGTAGGTCTTCAGTGAGCTGAGCCTCTCTGACCACTGGGGGCTCTTTCTTCTGTGTCTCTAGGACCCTTCCCGGTTTGCCATACTCTGGATTTGACCTTGAATTGGAGCACCTGGCACACAGGCGAAGTCTGTCCTTGTGGAGGGTGGAGATTCGGGGGGGGGTGCACCTCACCCTGGTTTATTGAGCTGGAGATGGCAGAGAAGGCAGGAGAGAGTGAGTTTTGGGGTCTCCTCATTGTACCAGTTTCAGGAGAACTGTCTCCCCTCAACCTGAGACCACCCCACAGGGCAATTCTGGACAGGATCTGGGGAGGCTCGGAGGGGAGCACTAGATTCCTGGGTGGAGCATCCTGGGTGTGGGAGGAGCAGGCAGGTGGTGACACAAGGGCCTCAGGATATTTCACTTCTGGGGCCACCGCATTGCCTGAGATTCCACCGTTATAGACGTCTCTGAACCAATATGGCTTTGTCCACAACAAAAGGTGATGGAATAGTGTGGCAGAGAGAAAGAGTTTGGGCTTGATAGACCTGAGTTCCTTTGAGCTCTATGACTTGGGCTAGAGGCTTGCCCTCTCTGAGCCTCAGTTTGCTCTTCTGTTAAAAGGGCAGTTTCCTTTCTCTGGATGCTGTCACTTGGGTCTCGTCACCCAATCCACAGGGTCCGTCCCTGAAAGCTAAGGGGAAGGTGGTGGGAAGGCTTTGGGCATTGTGGCATAGGTGAGCATCTGACACAAAGCAGGCAAAGTTTAGGTAGAGCACCTGGCACACGGTAGGCACACGTTATGTTGAGCACTTGGCACACAGTAGGTGCATGTTATGTAGTGTACCTGGCACACAGGAGGTGCGCTTGATTTAGCATATCTGACACATAGTAGGCATGCTTTATGTCAAGTACTTTGCATGGAGTAGGTTTACTTTATTTAGAACACAGGACACACAGAAGGACCATTTTATGTAGAGTACCTGGCACACAGTAGGCACATGTTATACACAGTGCCTGGCACACAGTAGGTGCGCATTATGTAGCATACCTGACACACAGTAGGTGTGCATTAGTCAGCATAGCTGGCACACAGTAGGCATGCTCATGTCAAGTACTTTGAACATTGCATGCTTACTTTATGTAGAGCACCTGGCACATAATAAGTGTATATATAGACCACCTGCATAAAT